CACGACCTTCGATTATGAGCAGCTGAGCCTCGCGAGCCACGCCCGGGTTCTTAAGGTTGCAGCCTACGGGTCAACGGGCTGGTGCAAAAAAGAAAGGACAAAAACAAAGCTATGCAAGGATAAAAACAAGGGCGAAGGGGACAAGCTTCCCCTCACAAGTGATTTCATCACAAAAATGAACTTAAAATATTCATGAATGTAAAACTGTTCACATGGGGGCTCCCCCACGAATTCATCTTTTACATAAACTGACTATTTCTACTCTAACTCTATTATGGCCCCCCGGCGGCATCGGATGACTCAGGCGGCTGCTGAGAGATAGGTAAGGAGCAATGGGATGTCCCATGTAGGTTATGTCGACCCCGTCATGAATGATGGACATGGATCCCACTCGGACATATCCGATAGGAGCTCCCCGGACCCATCACTCGAGCCATCCAAGTAACTTTACCAAACCCCGTTCTACTTTCCTAGTGCATGAGCATTCATTCATCCATTCTCATGCATGCATTCATACATTCATCCCATACATCCAAGCATTGCATATGCAATTGTTGCATCACAACGCTTCATGTCATGTCACGAAGTGGTAGTCGTCTCATTCGATATGAGTGACGACCGACCAGGGTTCGAAGGCCGGTCCGCAAAGGGCTCGAGGCCGCCTCGCGTCGAATAGAACCAGGGGAGAAAACACAGATGAGCCCCAGTGGCCCTTGCCTGATCCGCTTAGAAGCGGATAGGGTCAACTCGACCTTCTCGTTCGATCCTGACCTTGAGCCATGCCCATAGAATCTCCATCAAGGGGAGGCCAGCGGGCCACCTGAGTCGGTCTCCAAAATGGCTCAGGCATCTGCCGGGAGGCGGGTTAAGGAGAAGTGGAGTGCCACATGAGGGCTATGCCGACCCCATCATGAACGACGGATCCAAATTCCACTCGGACATACCCGTTAACAAGCTCACCGAAGCTTGCCACTCGAGCCATCGAGATAAGTGGCGTCAGCTCAACCCCTCTAGTTGCGGATACCGCAGACAGGGTGACGTAGGAAATCATGCGACCGACCCTGACCAACCCCTAGTGGTTCAGGGGCTGGAGCTGCCAGGTCCCTACTTAGGAACCTGACCGACCACACAGGTTGCGGCCGGAACGGACACGAGCGAACACCCCGACCGGAAGAAACATAAGAGTTTGAAGCCCCAGAAAAGAGTACCAAGGTGCTCAGCCTCTGACCGACTCCCCAGTTGGCCACAGGCTCAGGGGCTACACCCACCTCCATCTCGCCTGACCCTTGGGTGCACGCTCCATCTCACCTGACCCTAAGGCCGCGGGCTCTATCTCACTCGACCCTTGGGTGCGCGCTCCGTGTTGCCCGACCCCAAGGCCGCGGGCTCCGTCTCGCCCGACCCCTCGGGTTCATGCTCCGTCTTGCCTGACCCTAAGGTCACGGGCTCCGTCTCACCCGACCCTTCAGGTTCGCGCTCCATCTCGCCCGACTCCTCAGGTGCGGGCTCCATCTCGCCCGAGCCCTCGGGTTCGTGCTCTGTCTTGTCCGATGATGACCCACTACCTTACACCCACCGGGTGCGCTCGCGCGTACCCTACGGAAAATAGATTACTAGCAAGTCTTCTCCTCAAGGACTGGGTCCTAATATCCCTCCGGCGCGCCTCTGCAGCCTTCGCCAGTCCTCCCCATGGAGGCTGGGCACCCGTATCCACTTTGCGCGCCTCTGTGGCTTTTGCCAGTCCTCCACATAGAGGCTAGGCGCCTAAATCGTACTCGATTACCCTACGCAATACAACAAACCAAGGGGAAAAACACCGAAGTTCCAATAACAGCCCGCCTCCACAGCACGATGGGTACAAGAATTACAAAGAAAATTCAAGCTTTCATTAAGATAAAAACACAAGCCCCTGGTTTTTACAAATATCACGCGAAACGTGTGTGAACAACGCCTTCATGGCTTCACAGAAGTCCCAAAGGGGCTCAGGGCTCCTGTCGGGTTCATAAACCGAGGTCCCCAATGAACCCGCTTCCCTACAAAACCCGGCCTAGCAGGCGGCGCAGCGACAGCACGTGCCTGGGCTGGTCCAGATACATAATGACAGGCCGAGACAACAGTCTGGTCCCCGACCGGAAGGCTGGCCAAGGTGGGACCGCAGTCCGACTCCGACCCCCTTCTCCAACCGAGGATACACCGGACCTCTGCTCGTTCCTCTTTCCCGACCGACACGGTCGGGACTGATTGGGAATGACTGAGCGGGGACGCCCGCTCGGTGTGGGCTCGAGGAGTAGGTGGAGCAGATAAGGTAAGGCGCTCAAGTCAACCGCAATACCGAGGACTGTACCCTGCCATGCCCTGCGCACCTGCAGGATGGTGCCATCGGGGCATACCAGGCGAACATGGTAGAGCCTGCCAGATGTGTCTGAACTTAAATAGTATTGTTAGCGCCTGTAACACCCTAAAAATTGGCGGCGACACATCCAATTGACGATGGCGAGCTTTGGAACGACGGCGCGGTGGCGGCGGAAAGCGGCACTAGGGTTGCGTCACGTGGCAAGCTCGGGTGGAGGAGGCGACTCGCAATAGGGCTGGATGGGGCAATGCGGCGTAGGAGCTCCGGCTTATAAGGGGGCTATGGCGTGGGGTGCATGGCAAGACGATGATACGGGGCGGCGATGGACTCTCGGCGGCAAAACAGACTCCGGGTCGGCGACGTGAGGTAGAAGAGGGCACTGACGTGTGGGCCTAGGGTGGCAGTGACTCCACGCTCGGGAGAGAGGAGGCGCGGGCGACGCTGGGCCGAGAGGGAGTGGGCCTGCGGCCTTGCTGGGCTGCGGTGGAAAGGAAAACTAGGCTGCGCTGACTTGCTGCTGCGCTACGGGAGAAAAAGAAAAGGATGGGGAGGAGCAGGCCTTCGGGCCAGATTGCGGAAGAAATAATTTTTCCATTTTCCAAAGCTTTTCTATTTTTCTTTTTCAATCCAAATTCAAATATGATCCAATTCAAATTCAAATATAGTTTCAAATGTACTTTTCAATTCCAATAAAATGAGCAATTTTAGTAAGCTTCCAAAAATATATTTTACAACCCTTTTTAAACTCTTTTATTTTCCAATTCTTTTTTTCTTTCTTTTCTTTTACTTCAAAGCCATTTTTAATTTATTTCCAAAAGCAATTCAAACCATTTTCAAATTTACAAAAATATTTTGAATTCATTTTAAATTTTGGATTCAACCACTCATTGCAATAGATCAAATGCACCGGCATGTATGCACATCTATGTTACTACTCCTTATGATAAATTTTAATTTAACAAAAAATTATTATTTCCCTTTGTTTTCATGAGCACAAAAATTCAAAATTACCTCAATTTACGTATATTTTAAAAAGAGCAATTTTTAGGGTGTTAGATAAAAAAGAGAATTGGAAAATAAAAGGGTTTAAAAAGGGTTATAAAATATATTTTTGGAAGCTTACTAAAATTGCTCATTTTTATTGGAATTGAAAAGTACATTTGAAACTATATTTGAATTTGAATTAGATCATATTTGAATTTGGATTAAAAAGGAAAATAGATAAGGTTTGGAAAATGGAAAAATTATTATTTCCCTATGTTTTCATGAGAAAAAAATTCAAAATTACCTCAATTTACGTCTATTTGAAAAGGAGCAATTTTTAGGGCGTTACAACGCTGTCGTTTGCTGTACCATGTGAACATGGTAGAGCCTGCTAGATGTGCCTGAATATGAACAGTGGCCCCGTTCGGCTTGCTGAATTGTGGCTGAAACTGGCTAAAAACACTGTTCTGGCTTAATTCTTGTGAGAGAAAAGTACTGTTCCATCTGAAAACACAAGTTAAATAGTGCCGTTTTCTAGGTAAGCCGAACGGGACTAGTATTGTGGGCGCCGACGGCCATCCCGTACCCGATGGTGTGGGCAACAAGACTAGGCAGCACTCGTATACACTTTCTTTTTCTCTGACTTGTAAGGCAACCCCCTTCAATTATAAAAGGGGATGATCTCTCTTTTAAAAGCACCCCCGAAGACTGGTCGACTCGACAGCTACACAGTCTACACGCTCTCAACAGTTGATAAGCTCGGACACATAGAGCATACGTTCCAATACTTAACGCACGTTTGAGCATCCGTCACTCTCTTCCACTCGGTTCAGAGTCCGACCGGGCCTCTAACACCCTCATTTTCATTCCTTACTTGTTTGTAACCCCACAGCAAACTTTGAGCACCTGGGCTCAGGAATAAAGTCACCGACCGACCTCAACTGGACGTAGGGCATGTTATCTGAACTAGTATAAATCCTGTGTCATTGAGTGCTAGGCCACATCCGATCACAACGCACGGCAAAACTACAAATATTTACTTGGTGATCACTTTTCGCACCGACAAACGGATTATAGGTATACCCACCTAACTGTGTTTTCCTTCAAAATAGAATAGAGGCACAAAAAAAACTATTTTGTTGAAAAAAAAGTATTACCATTGAGAAGGTTACTGATTAAAGCAACATATCATGGAATAGAGTAAAAACCTACCTAGCATTCAGAGGAGAGCTACCCCAAAATCCCAAATACATGATGTTCAACCGTTGGTGCATAATAAGTTAGGAACAAATTAAAGGGAAGAGCCCAACAAGCAGGTCTCCACTATTCTTAGTTCCTAAATATCTTCTCTGCCCCTAACACTGTATGTACACCTTAAAAAAAAACGTTGCAAGTCGTCACACATCTGAAGAACAATCCTTTCTTCAGTGTGCATCACCAGAAGATCAAACTAATTAAGCCACCTTACACTGCTTCTCAATAAACTAGATCAGTTAATTCGATCTTGCATGCATTGCTTTCTTCTTCTCTGGGACACACGACGACTAACAATCTAGCCTGTATGCATGCAAGAAGAAGAAGAACAATTAAACTTGCACATGCATGTATTATTGTACTTCTTCTTCGTCATTTTATTGTACTGTGAGCTTTCATCGTACATCTACTACTGCAGCCCCGGGCCGTCGTCCTGCCTGGGCCTTGCAACCCAGAGCGTGCTGAGCGCGCGGAGGCGGTGGAAGTAGTCGGCGATGGCGAGCAGACAACGAGCAGCCTGTCTGGTGGTCAGGATGTGTTGGAGCTTGTGGAGGGTCTGCTGTCTTAGCCCATCTGCCTGCACACACAGTACGTAAGAGAGATCAGAAGTAGAGAAGGATTAATTAATACTCAATCTATTACAAATTATAAGTCGTTCCGGTTTTTCTGAATATATAATATATGTTTATTAAGTGTATAATAAAAATTATGTATCTAAAAAAGTCAGAACCACTTATAATTTGGAACGGAGGGAATAATTACTAGCAATAACTATTAGCACCAAGGTGAAATACATGCATTTGATAATCCTTTTTTTTCATTTCATATAGACCAGGCTCATATACATAGTCTGATGCATGCCTATTGCCTATTTGCGTCGTAAGTCCTTAATATATAATATATGTTTATTAAGTGTATTATATTGTTGAAGCAGGTAAGTTAATCTTGAGGCCAACAACCAATTATGTTTATCAAATACCGAAAAGAAAATGAAATGGGTCACGTACTACCCAACTTATTAGTTATTAATTAGATTAGTGTTCCATATAAATTGTTATATATGTATTTGCTGCGCAAACCTAGCTAGCTATTTAATCTGACGGCGCCGTGTGGGGCAAAAAGATCGCGTGCAGAGTACTCAATGCAAGCTTGGTACTATCAACTGCCGGCTCTTTTTTCTCCGCACAATTATCATGATCTTGACATCCCAACTTCTACATCTTGTCGATCATCTTGGGATGCAATGCAAAGGTTGTTGCCTGCCTTCATCTTGCTGAATGTACTACGTATATAGATCGATCTTCCGTCTGCAGTGTACTAGCTTGTGTGTGCAAGGGATTCTTCCTTTTAATTAGTCTGTGTTTAGGTATATATAGTAGATAGATACTGTTCAGACTTTTTCTGGACATGGCGTGTTCTCGCTCAACAACAATGATGATGATGAAGTGATGACCCTGGGATATATGATGCTGACAATGGCATGCAGTTTTTTTTTTCATGCTGGGTCCTCTACACTACACATGAGACCTACCTTAGCTTTTTATGGAACTTTACTTATATTAATCATATATGTTGCATGCAGTGATTTTAATTAGTACGTATCTTCGATCTATAATATAGTTTCCTCCAGTCACAAGCTAAGTACGTATAGTATTAGTAGTTTAGTACCTGCATGACGAAGCTCTCCATAGCGGCGACCTTGTTCATGGCGAGGGACATGTGGCCCATGAAGGTGGCGGGGGCGACATCAGGAGCAGCGACGATGTCCGAGATGTGCTGCTGGGTGGCTTCCATGCTGTGGTTCAGAGCCTCCTCCCTCTCCTGCACTAACTGCTGGAGTTGGTAGATGCCAAGGATCTGTCCCTCTGACAGCGGCTCCACATGCTTTAGCATCACCTATTACATACATAAATACATGAATACAGTAAATCAATTAAAGATTTATTTTTCAAAAATATGAGACAGCGTGATTTAGTTTTACCTTTTTATGTTTATTCTAAATATAGCAGTTTTTTTTTTTGTGAATCTAAATATAGCAGTCATATATTAAGAGAGCACTTGTATCCATGTATGTATGTAATTGCTTCTCTATATATCATGAGAAGAAAACATTCTATCTCATACACATGGAAAAAAACCCTTCAAATTCTAATTAAATTATATACTAAACTTTATTTCCTGCATCTTCTGTATTTCTTAATTAGAGACTATTTTGGTTGCTGAATTTTTGCTTGAATGATGAGTAGATCGATAAGGAAGATATGTATATATAAAAGTGAACATGCAATATTGTTTTGACCAATAATGTGTATATTAGCTTCATATTCTTCCATATATATAGTATGTTCATAATAAATGGTCCATATATCATATGAGTAAGACATAAGTAGTGTGCAAAGAATAGTGTGAAAATGTATAGTCTATCTGAAATTGTGCTCGGTAAGCTGAAAATTTAAATGTGCATAAAAGTCCACAAGAGAAGACATATATGTATATGCACGTGATGTTTACAGCTGATAATCTTTCCTACATACATCATATTATATATAAGCACTTTTCGGATGTGTGTTTTATTAAGTAATTCTGTTTTCTAGGGCACTAAACAACTCTGTATTGACTTTTTTTTTTTGAAAAGTTACATATTTTCATCACAAGAGAAATAAATGGAAAGGGACCATTATTCACAAATGTCTGGTTATATATATTAAAGTCACAGGTCCATTATATTTTCAATTTGTGTATTTTCTGGGGCAATACATTTTCCAATTCTAATTTGCAAATACATTTATAGACATACTCATATATTTACCTTCTAGAAGGTCAATGCAAAGAGATGAAATCTAGGCACAATATATATGAAAGGGGAAGGGAGAAAAACACGAAGCCCACACGCATGGATATGGTCCATTGTTCCAGAAGAAAGAACCATCCCCATCACGCATATAACATCTTGCATACCTGTTCCTGTCCGGTTACCTACTCCCCTGATCGATATATATTCCTCATGTCTCAACGTGCATGAATCCAAAATCCCTCTTGTTGTCTTGCCCCTCAACTTTGAACTATTCCCATCATGCAAGGTACCTATTGGGCCTCTCCTACCGCTTATCTTAGATATATTTTTTTTTCTCAGACCCTTCTCAGTTATATAATCCATCAATAAGGGACATGAAATGTTGGTCAAGTAAGACAGTCGTAAAAAAGTTGCTCTGGAGCATTCAACCTTTTCAAAGATCTTGGGTTAGGTACAGATAACTACAGCATGCATAAAAATAATACAAGGCGGCATAGTGTTATAATCAAAGTTAAAAGCATTTAGTATAACATGAACGTCTTGAAATCAATCATTGACTAGACCAAGTATAGTAGATACATGCATGGAACATAATGGAAGGGTCAACCCAGAAGGCTGGACGATATATGTATAGAAGTAGATAGGTTTAGCTGGTTTGGACGAGTAAACTCTATGGCAAATATATGGGAACTAGCAGGCCGGGTCAAATGGACTAATAAACGGCCTCACAACACAAGCTAGCTAGCCAAAATATAATCATCAGGTAAACAGCCTAGTTAGCATTACTTGGTCTATTCAATGAGTTAATGCTAAACAGCAATACTGTATTAGGTTGTGCACTGGGTTAAGCTTCCATAAACAATGACTAACGTAGTACAACAAGATGATGTGCGCTCTATAATGCAAACGGGATCGGACATGAGAACCAATATATCAAATTAACCTGCAATCATGCATGATCTATTTATATTATTCTGGGCATCCTCATTTCCAGGCACCAACTAGATAACAAGTGCATTAATCAACTATATATATGATTGTTAGAATTTCTACACCATGCATAGTAAATAATTAGTAATAGTAATACCTTTATAACCTCCGAGGGGCGAAAACCTCCCAACCAAAGGAAGCAACGCTCAGCAGGGGATACCCACACCCCAGACAGGAGGTGGAAGACATCGGCCCTGGCCATGGCGCCTTTCAGGTGCAGCAGCTCCTCGTGCTGCGCCATGCCACCATTCACGAAGCTCTGCAGCTGCTCGTCCGCCACGTGCTCGCTCAGTGCCGCCCTCAGCTGGAACATCAGCTTGCTGTGCTCTTCAACCCACCTTCCATACTCCACGTCAAATACTGCAGCTGCTCATCATGCATGCATGTTACATTACATACATAGAATCAAGTAAATTATGGAATTAATTTATATGGATTATATACAGTATGTAGAGATGAAATGGAGGGTCGCATTATTATTACTACCTGGTGAAGGGGCAGAAGGAAAACCTGGCTGCTCACCAGTGCCTAAGAAGACACCCTGAACATAGTAGTAGTCACTGGTTAATTAGCCATGTACATGATTAATATAAGTACTACTGTGTAGCAGAGAAACAATATGTAACTGGCTCCTCCAAGATACTGCTGGTAGAAGAATTAATACCTGTACTCTTGCCACTTGAACTTGTTGTTCCAGCTGGCTGAGCCTGATCCTACTTGTCTCTAACTGTTGAATATAAGCCTGAAGAGTAAAACAAGAGTGGATGCATCAATCCATAAGGTACGTTTGTGGGTGTACTCTAAACATTCCTTGAAATGTTGGCTAGATAGATTAAAGACATTTTCAGCATACTTATTGAGGGCTAAGGAGATATTTTACAAGGACAAAAGCTTTTGAACTAACTCATAAAGTTAATCCAATTTTTGAATAAATGTTTTCAATCTCCAACTATATAGTTGATAGTCTGCTATAGCCTCATTTAGCTCCACCATTAGCTGTTGGAGAGGTCCTCTGCTAAATGCCATACCTTGACATGTAAAAAACTGTCTTTTATATGATAATATCCCAGATTGAGAAATGAAACAATTATTGAAAGGTATATCAAATAATTAGATGGGTCACTGAAATTTAAGTTCTATACATATAAAAAATGAAATCATGAGGAACAGAAAAATACATGAGGTTTTTTGGAAAGTGATATTATTCTTTAGGTGCATTGTCAAATTCAAGAGAAAGGAAAATCAAGTACACATATCCTAAAGCACATGTAAGGCCAAAAGGACAGAACCAAAAAACTGTTACATCACTAATCAACCTGCTGACACTTGAGACTTCAATTAGGAAAACAGCAATCGGTTTAAAATGGGTGTACTGCACGAACAAAAAAATACATTAACATGTTTAAGGGATATATATTTGTACATATGGCTGGGAGGATGCCATATAAATGTTTTGTTTGTTCTTTGAACTCTACATAATTGTACAGTATGGTTTCTCTATGTAGTGCATGTAGTCTCTTAGTTGACTGACTCACCTTCTTCCTAAGCCTGCTCTTCCTTGCTGCTTCTCTATTCTGTGCAAGCCTCCTCAATGTCTGCAGGATATACATAAATATATAACTGATGCACTGCAGTATGTACGAAGTGACTTTTCATCCTCCGAGATTACATTGAACTGTGGCAAGAATCTTAATTAAGAATCACTGACTCTCTCACCTTAGGGTCTTTCACTCTCTCCTGAACAGAACCTGCAGATGCTGCACCCTTCCCACCGCTAGTATCTTCCTTCTGCAAATTAATTAGGCGCCTTGTTTTGTTCAGGAGAGAGAGAGAGAGAAAGAGAAAGAGAGAAAGAGTGAGATGCATGCATACCTTAGTAAGGCTATTCCTATTATCCTTGCCTAAGTTGTTATTAGGCAACGGCACAACGGGGCCTGCAGGAGCAGCGACGCTCCTCTGCTGGCCACCTTGCTCTTGTCTCTTGGGTGAAGAAGAGTTGCCATTTGGCAGCATGCTGGCTGCCACCATGCCCATGCTAACATCCTACACAGGTAATTTAAGGTCAGCAAAACAGAGTTAACGTTATAAATTCAGCACATATTCCACATATGCATGAATCAGGCATGCATGTCCGAGGAAGGAATAGATGAAGTGCACCATGGAGATGGAGTTTGCATGCATCAGTACTAGTTGTTTGTATACTGATAGCTGTATGTGTGGTGCATAACTGCATATATAAGGGATTAATAAGGAGGACGTACTATACCTTAGCAGGAATTGGCTCGGCCACATGCATTGGCTGCGATGGAAAGATGTTCAGAGTCTCTGCAAAACATGCAATTAATTAACAATGTCGTCGTAAACGCAGATACTACTACATCAATAAAAAAACTACAAATATATATATGTGCAATGAGAAAGAGAGAGGGATGATGATCAATAAGGGATTATATATATGTATATTTTCATGAACTAGTGCTTGAATAATGGAGTCCTTGTATATATTACATGTCTCTCTCTACACCCTCTCTCTCCTAGTCCTAGATAACACATGGATGCGCAGATGGACACGCGTGGTGGGAGAGAAGCTAAATATGAGAGAGAGAGAGAGAGAGAGAGCAGGCAGTACATGTACAACAACGTCCGGGAGGGAGGGGGACATGCTTCTGGGGCTATAATTCAACAGAGTGCATGAGAAGATGCAAATGGAAAGGAATGGGTGAGAAATAGAAAGGGAGAATATTTATAGCTTCTTTTAGATCAAGTTCTTGTTGCAAAGGAGAAGGCCGTCATCATCACAGAGTCTGTTACATGTCACACTCTTCACCACAGGAAACAAATACCAAACACGCACAAGAAAGAAATGAATGAAAGTATCATGCAGCAAAAGAAAAGGGGATTAGCTATAGCTTAGGTGTTAACAAGACCAGACACAAGGACCTGCAGCTGCATGCAAGGCACATATAGATATATATATGTGGCAAAGCAAAGACGACAAACATAATCCATGGAAAAGGGTGCTGCTAGTAGGGGGTTACTAGCTTTTTGAGTGTGTACTCAGTGAAAACAATTAGCATTTTCGGAGTTGGGGAAACAAAGACAGGAGAGAGAATTTCTTCCATAACATACGTCGTTGTTGTTCTTGATCGTGGCCATCCTCGAGGTAGAGAAAGATTGCTGACTGGTCGAATTCCGCCATGTCGTAGCTTGCTGCTGATTCCTTGCTCCTAAATTAACAAAGGGAAAATATATTAGAGGTTGAAACAAACAAGATTGAAGGGAAAATATATTAGAGGATGAAACAAGCAAGGTTCAATTAATCGATCATTTTCATAAGCACTAGAAAGCAAGTAGCAGTGGGATAGTAGCTTTGTTTGTTTAATTAATATATAATGGAGCAGATAGGAGAGTCGGTGTGACAAATCCTTAAAAAGCCTCTCATCTAGCTACTTGTTGAAAGATACAAGGAAAACAACCATATCCATGTATTCGGTAATTTGGTGTCCTCCTTCCTTACCTCAGCACCTCAACTATTTCCATAATCCCTAACTAACCAATAAACTATCTGATATTGTGTCTTTCCCAATTCTCACCCCCTTCTTCTTCTTCTTCTTCACCATGTGTTTGAATTATACATAGAAATATAAGAAACCAAGAAAAACTTGAATCAACAAAGATGGATTATGCAAGATATCGATGGCGGGCACGGTCTTCTGATTGCCATCACACCTCTATCACACACAAACAAACACCAGAAGCAGATAGAGCAGAATATCTTAATCCCTTGTACCAGAAGCGACCATATGCGAGAGAGAGCGAGCGAGTTGTCAATCAAATCCCTAATCCGGCCAGCTCGAGAAATTAAAAAGGCAAGCACAACAAAACACCTCTCGATCTCTGTGGAAAGGAAACACAGATAGATAGGGCTCCAGCTCCCCAAAGGCACGAAATAAAAGGGAAGGGGAACTTGACAGCAACTTGTGCGACTTACATGGTGGAAGAGGCTGCCATCATCGTCGTCGGTGGGGAGCTAGAGGCGCTCCGGAGACCTTGGGGGAGCTCAGATGCCCGGTGATGGTGGCGGCGGCGGTCGTCGTCTCCAGCAGAGCCCAACCTGAAGCCCTTATGAAGGCTCTGACCATCCTCCACTCTGGCTCTCTCCTCACACTATGCACATCTACAGCAAAAGCTTCCAAAACCAGTCATTAATTGCAAAACCGTCTTCTGTTTGCACCCTCGCTTTATATAGTTAGTCTGCAACCTTTTTGTTTGTATGGCCAAAGCTTTAAAGGTAGTCTGCAACCTTTTTGTTTGTATGTCACCTAAAATCTTCCTTGCTTCTCCTCTCACACGTTTTGACCAAGAACTGAGAGAAGACTTTTAAGAGAGAGAGATGAGACGAGAGAGGAAGAGAGACGAAGCATACTAATCTTTATGTGTTAATTGGAAGGCTGTGAGGTGGCCTTAGGAATCAAGGTAAATGAGGTGGGCCCATAAATTTCAGTGGCTGTTTAGTTGCACGCGTGCATCCAACATGCGGCACATCTTTAAAAAAAAAAGAGAGTTGCTAAAATTTAGTTGAATTTTAGCTTTCTTTTAGACGACAATTATTATGCATGTTTTATGTCATTACAATTTTTGTAGCTATAATCTACAATTTTCATAGATATCCAATTAAAAAAATGTTTCTATGGAGTCCAGCAGTCTTAAATTTAACTAACTATATACAAAAAGTACTAATATTTATTATGCCTAATAAATATCACTAGATTGATCACCGAATATATTTCTATAATAAATATGTTTATTTTGAAGATACAAATTTTGATACTGTTTTTTATAAATCTAGTTAAATTTATATGACTATTTGACTTCTTGGGAATGAAATTTCCATTCTTTTTTTTTTGGGGCAGAAGGAGTAGTTATTACCCGTGAATGAAAAGTACATCAATATCAATGACTATAGTTTTAGAGATAAATATGAGATCAGTGTATCTTGCATTTTAGTTAGGTGCATGTTTATACTTCCTTTGATTTAAAATACATGTTGTTTTAGCCATCACAGCTTCTTTCTAACACATAAATGTCATCATCGAACTTCTGGCCACTTCTCATTTTGTTCCTCTCTTCCTCTTCATCAACAAGTATAAGTACGACCACTCTCATAAATAAAGGATGTGTTGTTTTGCAATATATTACTCCCTCCATTTTAAACTGTAAGTTGTTTTACCTTTTCTACGTATATAGCTTTTATAATGTATCTAGACATAGCGTATATCTAAGTGCATAAGGTTAAATGCATTCTAGATTCTTAAACTTTTTGTGGATTCTCAGTTGGGTCCTCGAACTGACCATTTGGGTCCTTAATCTACTGTTAATTCTCACTTGGGTCCTCAATCTAAAAAAAGTGATCATCTGGATCCTTAATCTATTGCTGCACTCACCTAAAGGTCCAAAACCCACCATGCCATCACCAACCGCCTATGCGGCTATGTCGGTTAAAGCTAAAAAAAACGCCCTCTCTGATCCATCTCTCTCTCTCTCTCTCTCTCTCTCTCTCTCTCTCTCTCTCCTTGCAGTCCACCTCTTTTTCAGTCCACCTCTCTTTCTCTGTTCCATGGTCACTGAATATGTGCCTCTATAGCGGCCGGTGCGTAGGCTAGCATGCAGGTGCAGTCGCGAAGCGGGCGCGAGCTCTATAGGAGGCGCAGAGGAGGAAGTGTACGGGGAGGACGGGTGAGAGAGGTTTTCCTTTTTGTAAGCAGTTCCACTTGGCCTCATTCATGTTGGCACACGTGGGCATACCGAGGCCATGTGATGGGATTTGAGCCTCTACTCGGGTGCAGTATTAGTTGAAGGACCTAAATGGTCACTTTTTTAGTTGGAGGATCCAGGTGAGAATCCACAATAGATTTAGGACCCATATGGTCATTTTTTTAGTTCGAGGACCTAAGTGAGAACCCATAAAAAGTTTAAGGACCCATGGTGTATTTTATTCTAAAAGTTATATATCTATAAATGACAACGACTTAAAATTTAGAACAGACAGAACACTAATGAAGGGCAATAAAATTTATTTGATCCACTTTCTTAGGCATCTCCAAGGGAACCGCTCAAACACTCTCCCATCTGTTTTCTCCCTTCATTGAGGCCAGTGTCATTAGGGTTCCATTTGGGTTTCATTCGCATTTAATACTATAACACATTAGCATATTTGATGACTTGATTGGTTAATTATAAAGAGAGATACATAGCATTTCATCTGGATGAAACTCTCTTGTCACGATGACCAACTCCATATGAGTCATGAAATGAAATGTCTATATGAAACCATAGAATCAAACTTTGTATTGGGAGTAGGTGTTTAATCTATGTTTCATTTCATTCAGTACAATATGACAGTCTTGGAAATAACGCCACATAAAACTCTCCAATGAGACTAGCCTTATACAAAATAACAATTTAGTGGCAACCCCATGTTCGCATCCATCTTCCAGCCTCCCTCTCAAAATTGGGGAGGTCCATATGAGGCCTCCCATTTAATAATACAGGACAAAGTGAAGAACTGATGCTATGCAGGAAACAGGCCTGTGGACTCATGACCACCCCTGCACACCATTGGCATAGACTAGATGATATTGCCTTTATCCTTATTGGAAAGTAATCTAATAGAGCTCTTTTGTTTTTGAGAATTGTACAGTACAACGCAGACACTCACAATGCACGCACACTCATCCTTATAAACACACATACGCAAATCCTATCTCTATGAGCACCTCCGAAGGACTGAGCCGGCAGATCACGAGATTCACGAAGTTTCAGGAAAATGTGAAGGACTGAGCCGACAGATCACGAGATTCATAAAGTCACCACAGGCGCCTCGCTGTCGACGAGGACGTCGCCTACCACCGAAAGTATAGCGCCGTTAAATCCTAGAATAAATCCAGAAAAATACGAGCACTCGTGTGAAGTCGATGACTTGAATCTGGATGGGCAGGTTCCACCATAAGGAAACCAACCAGCTGATCTATAATTAATTCTTATAGAGCTCTTTTACAATGGTTGGAAAAGTACTATGGTACCTCAGGTATTTCTATTTTTTTTTTCAGTTTCTAGCTAATTAATTGAGAAAAGAATTTTATAAAATATAATTTTTTATTATTGAGGGTATATCGGTAATCGATCTTGTGCCCTTTCTCGTACTCCTGCTAGCCTCTCACCGTCTCACGTGAGCAGGAGCAGCGCAGCGGAAAAGCGTAGCAGAGCACCGACGGTGGCAGGAGACGGACGCATGGGCTGCTACCTGCGTTCTGGCGGGTGGAGGTGCGGTGCTTTGGCGAGCGGCGAGCGGCGAGTGTAGCGGAGCCGAGCGGGCAGCACCTAGCGCTAGCGGCAGCGGACGCGCAAACCGGTCGTGGGCGGTGCGTCGCCATCGCGCCGCGTCAAATCACCACAGCTCTAGCCTGCCTTGCGTCCGGGAGGTCGTGGGCGTGGACGCCAGCGTCAGGGAGGAGGCCGACGACCGCCGGCTGTTCTGCGGCGCGGCGCTAGATTGTCCGGCGAACGCCAATGATTTCCGGCCCGCCTTCCCTGCCGCGCGTCTGCTCCTGCCGCCAACACCTTGGATCCAGCGCTGTTTCGTGCCCGCCAAACTCTCATCGCCGCGCTCTTCCTGCCGCTATCCCCCCGCGCCGCCAGCATCCGAGCGGTCCTCAGCGATGGTGAGAAGAAAAGAGATAGCAGAGGGCTTCAGATTCATTAGACAGATAAAGGACGGGAAATACCGTCGTCCTTCAATGAATATATGAAAATTACCGATTTATCCTTAGCCGAAAAAGATAGGTCGTACCCGGTGCAGAGGGCTCCCGCTCTGTGCGGGGTCTGAAAAAAGGTGTCAATAGTAAGTCTTATCCTCGCCTGTGCAATGCAAGGAGACCGCGACTCAAATCCGGGACCTTCCAGTCACAGGTGGTAAGACTCTACCGCTTGCACCAGGTCTGCCCTTAGCCGAAAAAGATAAATAGAAAAAAATCCAAAACTAATTTAACTTTTTTTATACTGGTCCCACTTATATTTGGTACTGTGGTCCTACCTATTTGGGTACCGTACCCACCCTTTTGGTACTTGTGAGTACTTTTGCATAGGTATCTCCTATTTTTATACCGTCTAATCTCGGCCTATGAATGACCTATATTTTTCCAACCATTGTAAAATTTCTCAATCTAATAATAAAATAGGTAGCACTTTTTAGACATTGGTTTCAATTTATGAAATCCAAATAGGCTCCTAGTGTAAACTAAACTTCTATTTTCAGGGTGTCAAGCTATCCAGTCATCAGGTACATGGAAGCCTTATAACATCCGCGTGCCGCTCGCACGATTTGTACATCCTTCTCCACTTATAAATATAAGCCAGCAATGGATCTTTCGGGGAAAAAAGGAGAACATATGGGGCAAACAGAGTTATCCTCAGTCCTGCAAACTCTAAACCGACGTGTATTTTGAACAGGATGGTATAACATTCATTTAACTTGAATGGACATAGATAAATAGATATTCGTATGCCTTCTTTCTTGGTAGTGTGATATACTCACTTTGCTCTTGTCCTAACAGCTTTCATTATTTAGGCCTCGTTTGGATCCACCAGCAACGGATCCAAACGGGACAGCTAAAACTTAACTAAACTTTAGCAGAAGATCAAAATGTGCACAATCTCTTTAGCTGTTCCAACCCAGGTATATCTAACTAAACCATGAGTAAAGATGAAGTTGCCCCTCTTTTTTGTGTCCATATTGGGCTCAACAAAAGTGAGGGCATCATGGTAAATAACTTTAGCTGGCCAAATTAGCTGGCTAAAGTTCAGTTAAGCGGATCCAAAGAGGGCCCTAATTATATATGTCTTACAAATATGTTTAATAGAATCAATCTCAACCATGATTTAGCTAATTATCAAGCTAAATGGTTTCTAATTAAACAGTTGTTGGCCGTCCTTAACTCTAAAAAAACCGCCAACAC